GACCCGGGCGGGAGCCTCCCGGCGGCGGCGGCGGCGGCGGCGGCCCGGCAGCCGAGCGCCAAGGCTCCGTCACGTGTTTTTCCCTCCGAGTGAGACGGCGGCGCGGTCGGAGGGGCCGGCGCGCAGAACCAGACGCCGCCGCTTGTTTTGCTTGGGGCTCTCGGCAACTCTGGGCGGAGGAGGAGCAGGAGGGGGGCAGTCACTGCAGCCGCAGCGCCTCCCGGGGCAGAGGCGTCCTCGCGGCCCCCTCGCCAACCTCCCCTCCCCGCTTCCCCTGCCGACCGGAGCCAGGGGCAGGGATGAGCCTGGCCCTCCGGCCCGGCCTCCGCTCCCCCGGCTGCCTGGCAGCGTTTCGCGTGGACAAGCCCCTTGCTCCGCCCGCCGACATGGGCCCGAACGGGGGCTGCAGAGGACGCGTCCGCGGGCGGCGGCCGCAGCAACAGCCGCAGCGCCGCGGTCTCTGCGACTGAGCTGGTATTTGGGCGGCTGGTGGCGGCGGGGACGGCTGGGGCTGGGAGGAGGCGGAGGGCGAGGCGAAGGAGGAGGAGGAGGAGGGAGAACCCCGTGCAACATTGGGACTTGGCAGCCCGCCTCCCCCTGCCCAAGGATATTTAATTTGCCTCCGGAATCGCGACTTCCAGAGGGGGACTCAGGAGCGAAGGCGCGCGCGCGCCTGGAGGGGCAGCGCCAAGACCCCCGGCAGCCGCCAGGACGGCAGGAGATGCATCTTTGCCCCTTCCTGGCTGCGGCGGCGGAGCGGGCAGTCGGCGCTCGGAGGCTGTGGGCTGCCCTCGCCCAGGACGCACGGCCTCCCCCCGGGGCATGAGACGTCCGTGAACTCGGGTCGGGGCCAGCTCCCAGGCGCAGCCGCTGCGCCCTCCTCCACGGCCCCTCCCGGAGCGGGGGGCGGCGTGGACTCGGCTTCGGCGTTTCTGCCGCCTCGGGGCCCTGTTTGCATGTGCGGGGCCGCAGTGCGGAGCCTCCGCCCCCCACCCGATTGTTTTTCGGCGCCTCCCTCTGCTCGCTCGGCGGCGGCGGCGGCGGCGGCGCTGGAGGCGGCAGCATGGCGAGCCCTCCGGACGACGGCTTCTCGGACGTGCGCAAGGTGGGTTACCTGCGCAAACCCAAAAGCATGCACAAGCGCTTCTTCGTGCTGCGGGCGGCCAGCGAGGCGGGGGGCCCGGCGCGCCTCGAGTACTACGAGAACGAGAAGAAGTGGCGGCACAAGTCGAGCGCCCCCAAACGCTCGATCCCCCTCGAGAGCTGCTTCAACATCAACAAGCGGGCGGACTCCAAGAACAAGCACCTGGTGGCTCTCTATACCCGGGACGAGCACTTCGCCATCGCGGCCGACAGCGAGGCCGAGCAGGACAGCTGGTACCAGGCCCTGCTGCAGCTGCACAGCCGTGCCAAGGGGCACCACGACGGGGCCGTGGCGCCCGGCCTGGGAGGCGGCGGGGGCAGCTGCGGCGGCAGCGCCTGCCTGGGCGAGGCTGGGGAGGACCTGAGCTATGGGGACGTGCCCCCAGGCCCTGCCTTCAAGGAGGTCTGGCAGGTGATCCTGAAGCCCAAGGGCCTGGGGCAGACGAAGAACCTGATCGGCATCTACCGCCTCTGCTTGACCAGCAAGACCATCAGCTTCGTGAAGCTCAACTCGGAGGCGGCCGCCGTGGTGCTCCAACTGATGAACATCCGACGCTGTGGCCACTCGGAGAACTTCTTCTTCATCGAGGTGGGCCGCTCCGCGGTGACCGGGCCCGGGGAGTTCTGGATGCAGGTGGATGACTCGGTGGTGGCCCAGAACATGCACGAGACCATCCTGGAGGCCATGCGGGCCATGAGCGACGAGTTCCGCCCGCGCAGCAAGAGCCAGTCCTCCAACTGCTCCAACCCCATCAGCGTCCCCCTGCGCAGGCACCACCTCAACAACCCGCCCCCCAGCCAGGTGGGCCTGACGCGCCGCTCGCGCACCGAGAGCATCACTGCCACCTCCCCGGCCAGTATGGTGGGCGGCAAGCCAGGCTCCTTCCGGGTCCGCGCTTCCAGCGATGGCGAAGGCACCATGTCCCGCCCGGCCTCGGTGGACGGCAGTCCCGTGAGTCCGAGCACCAACAGGACGCACGCCCACAGGCATCGCGGCAGCTCCAGGCTGCATCCTCCGCTCAACCACAGCCGCTCCATCCCCATGCCTACTTCCCGCTGCTCGCCTTCGGCCACCAGCCCGGTCAGCCTCTCGTCCAGCAGCACCAGTGGCCATGGCTCCACCTCCGACTGCCTCTTCCCACGGCGGTCGAGTGCTTCGGTGTCCGGTTCCCCCAGCGATGGCGGGTTTATCTCCTCGGATGAGTATGGCTCCAGTCCCTGTGATTTCCGAAGTTCCTTCCGCAGTGTCACCCCGGATTCCCTGGGCCACACCCCACCAGCCCGCGGTGAAGAGGAGCTGAGCAACTATATCTGCATGGGCAGCAAGGGGACCTCCACTCTGACCGCCCCTAATGGCCACTACATCTTGGCTCGGGGCGGCAATGGCCACCGCTGCATCCCGGGCGCTAGCTTGGGTACCAGCCCGGCACTGCCTGCCGATGAAGCAGCCGCTACCGCGGATCTGGAGAATCGCTTCCGAAAGAGGACTCACTCTGCAGGCACGTCCCCCACCATTTCCCACCAGAAGACGCCGTCTCAGTCCTCCGTGGCGTCCATCGAGGAGTATACCGAGATGATGCCCGCCTACCCACCAGGAGGGGGCAGTGGAGGCCGGCTGCCCGGCTACCGGCACTCGGCCTTCGTGCCCACGCACTCCTACCCCGAGGAGGGTCTGGAAATGCATTCCTTGGAGCGGCGTGGGGGCCACCACCGCCCAGACGCCTCCACCCTCCACACCGACGATGGCTACATGCCCATGTCCCCCGGGGTGGCCCCAGTGCCCAGCGGCCGGAAGGGCAGCGGTGACTACATGCCCATGAGCCCCAAGAGTGTGTCTGCCCCACAGCAAATCATCAACCCCATCAGACGCCATCCGCAGAGAGTGGACCCCAATGGCTACATGATGATGTCCCCAAGCGGCAGCTGCTCCCCGGACATTGCAGGGGGCCCCAACAACAGCAGTGCTACCCCTTCAGGCAGCAGCTATGGGAAGCTGTGGACAAATGGCGTAGGGGGCCATCATTCTCACCCCCTCCCTCACCCCAAACCACCTGTGGAGAGCAGTGGTGGCAAGCTCTTGCCTTGCACAGGTGACTACATGAACATGTCACCGGTGGGGGACTCCAACACCAGCAGCCCCTCCGACTGCTACTATGGCCCCGAGGACCCCCAGCACAAGCCAGTCCTCTCCTACTACTCATTGCCAAGGTCCTTTAAGCACACCCAGCGCCCTGGGGAGCCAGAGGACAGTGCCCGGCACCAGCATCTGCGACTGTCCTCCAGCTCTAGCCGCCTTCTCTGTGCTGCCACGGCAGACGACTCTTCCTCCTCCACCAGCAGTGACAGTCTGGGAGGAGGATACTGTGGGCCTCGACCGGAGCCTGGCCACCCGCATCTCCACCATCAGGTCCTGCAACCCCATCTGCCTCGAAAGGTGGACATGGCTGCCCAGACCAACAGCCGCCTGGCTCGGCCCACAAGGCTGTCTCTGGGGGATCCTAAGGCCAGCACCTTGCCTCGGGCCCGCGAGCAGCCGCAGCAGCCCCTCCTGCACCCTCCGGAGCCCAAGAGCCCAGGGGAATATGTGAATATTGAATTTGGGAGTGACCAGCCTGGCTACTTATCTGGCCCCGTGGCTTCGCACAGCTCGCCTTCTGTCAGTTGTCCAGCCCAGCTCCAGCCAGCCCCCAGAGAGGAAGGGACCGGCACAGAGGAGTACATGAACATGGACCTGGGGCCAGGCCGCAGGGCGCCCTGGCAGGAGAGCGCCGGGGTGGAGATGGGCAGAGTGGGCGCTGCGCCTCCCGGGTCTGTGAGCGTCTGCAGGCCCACGCGGGCTGTGCCCAGCAGCCGCGGTGACTACATGACCATGCAGATGGGCTGTGCCCGGCAGAGCTACGTGGACACCTCGCCGGTCGCTCCTGTCAGCTATGCTGACATGCGGACGGGCATTGCTACAGAGGATGTGAGCCTTCCCGGGGCCACAGCAGCTGCTCCCTCCTCATCGTCAGCAGCCTCTGCTTCCCCCACTGCACCTCAAGGAGCAGCTGAGCTGGCTGGCCGCCCTTCACTGCTGGGGGGCCCACAGGGACCTGGTGGCATGAGCGCCTTCACCCGGGTGAACCTCAGCCCCAACCGTAACCAGAGTGCCAAAGTTATCCGGGCGGACCCTCAAGGGTGCCGGAGGAGGCATAGCTCCGAGACCTTCTCCTCGACACCCAGTGCCACCCGGGCAGGCAGCATTGTGCCCTTCGGAGGGGGTGCTGTGGCAGGGGGCAGTGGTGGCAGCAGGAGCGGCAGTGAGGATGTGAAGCGCCACAGTTCTGCTTCTTTTGAGAATGTGTGGCTGAGGCCCGGGGAGCTTGGGGCAGCCCCCAAGGAGCCAGCCCAGGTGTGTGGGGCCGCTGGGGGCTTCGAGAACGGTCTTAACTACATAGACTTGGATTTGGTCAAGGACTTTAAACAGCGCCCTCAGGAGTGCCCCCCTCCCCCACAGCCCCCTCCCCCGCTGCCCCCTCATCAGCCCCTTGGCAGCAGTGAGAGCAGCCTGACCAGCCGCTCCAGCGAGGACTTGAGCGCCTATGCCAGCATCAGTTTCCCCAAGCAGCCAGAGGATCTCCAGTAGCTCAACTGGACATCACAGCAGGTGCGTTTCCTGGTGAGAAAGTCCGGAGACAAAACTGCTTTGAACCATGTGCTTGAATCCCTCTGCCCCTTCCCTCTCCTCCCACAGCTTCCTTCCCGCGAGCGCTCCCAGTAGGGGGGGTGAGGGTCAGGGCACGCATGATGCTCACCCCCCAGTGACACCTGGCAGGAAGTCAGGAGAAGGTGTAGAGGAAGCCACAGGAGGGCTTTTTCATTGGCGAGTACCCAAGTGGAGTACTCAGTGTTGTATTTTGGAAACTCCTTCCACAATACCAGTTCTGAGATTTGTAAAGTGCATGTGGAAGGACCTTGGCTTGTTTATTGAGCTTCTCTGTCGACCCTGTGTTTAGGTCAGGCCTTGGAAAGGGCAATCCTTCTACACAAAATCTTTGTGAAAACAGAGCCCAGATCCTTTCTTCAAAATAGTTGCTCTGCAGTCTGAAGTTGAGGGTGATCTTATCACGTTGCTCTGTGTACTTTTGTTCTGTGATTTCATAACACCAAGGCAACGTAAACAGCAGCCACAGGAAACATTGGTTCATTGCACGCGGCCCTAAAAAAGACTCAGGACTAAGAGCTTGTGGAGGCTTACAGAGTTAGAGAGAAATAAGGTAATGAGGGGTCACGTTTTCTCTTTGTTCCTGAACCAAGATTGCTGAGAGATTATTCACACACGGGCCCACCTTCTCATAGCCATGGCAGTCTATTCACAGGATATGCAGTAAACGGCAGGCGTCTGGGACCCATTAATGGTTAAGAGTTGTGGAAGTTCGTCCTAGCGTATCTGCCTTACAGTTGTCTGCTCTTGCAAAAAGCCCTCCCTGAGACATCACACATATCCTTTGGGGGCTACTGTTCATCTTCTGTAAAATTACTTAACGTTTTCATGTTAAAAGGAAGAGTATTAACTCAGAAAGAGAGTGTTTTTTTTTTTCCCCCCCACTGAATCTAAGCATTAAACCTTGTTTTTCCTCTTCAGTTTTAGGATATTTGTCATTTGCCTTTAAGTTCAAAAGTCTATGCGTCAGTAAATGTTGAAAGTTGGCTTTAGGTCTTCTGTGGCTAAGGCTGTATTGAAAATGAAAAACATTTGTAATAGGAAATAATTAGGCTGCTTTTCTTTCTGTTGAGCCCATTTTCTGGTGGTCATAATTGTGGGTAGAAAGAGTCCTGTAGTTTGCAAATAATGTGATGAGCTGGCAAGGCAGAAGTTTCCAGCATTTGGAAACATTTTATTCTGACAAACTGATTGTCTTGTGACTGTCTTTTTATATATGTGTCAAAGACTGCGCTGTAACAAGCACTTATGCTTTTTAATATGTGTTCATTCATAAGAAACTGATTTTTGCATTGTTATTGTTATTGTTTATTAGGTGGTCACAGGCTCCTTGATTCGCACGATTTCAGTATCTGACCCTTGTATTTGCTGGTGGGCAGAACAAGATCAAGGCATACACACACTCGGATGCAGATTTTAGGTGGCATATTATGAAAAGGATTTATTTGATCAGTACTTATTTCAACACATGTCAACATCAATAGCACAAACTTTAATTATTTCAAATGATGTTTCTGGGAGTATGAGCCCTGGTAACTCTTTAACCAGCTGTCTTTAACCAGTTGTCATTTACAAAGTAGTGAGAATTTGATGGGAAGAAAATCAGAATGAAACTTTGATTTGAAAGAAGATGAAATAAGCAGCAAAGAAATAGGAACTTTCCTCACCTGTTTTCTTGATTTGAACAGGCCTCTTTTTGTCAAGTAGAACAGATCATATGGGCTGGGATGAAAATCAATGACCCAGTAGAGTTTTCATTTCTAAATAGAATCTTCTTTATAAGAAAAAACCAAAAAACAGAAAACTTAAGTTTTCTTAGAAAAAATACAATACTCCTGAAGAACCATGTCCCTAACAGTCTTGGAACAGCAACAGACCACATCGTGCCAGAAAAATTCTCCCGTGTGCATTGGTAGGATGCCATTGACAAGAAGATACAGATGTACACGTGTGTTTGAAGCGAGACACCCAGTGCTACCAGCATGTTTGCTTCTGAATTCTGCTCTTTGCTTTGCCCTTTTGAGTTCAAAGATGTTATTTTGATAGTCAGTTATCACCACAAACAAACAAGTCAGATCTGTCAGTGGCAAACAGCGTCTCTTAGGAATGAGTATGTCTGTTTGTGAAAACACTGTTTTCCTAACTTCTCAGCAGTTGCTGTGTTTTCTTTGGTGAATCAGGTAAAGCCTGACACCAGGTGAAAGGAAATGAGATGCCATGAGGGGTGTGTGTCCTTTGTCCCAACCTCTCATTTCAGACCCCTCACCCGCTTCATTATTTCCACAGTCTGGTAGAAGATCCTTTGTGGAACCGTTGGCCCAGACGCTCAGGGCTTGTGGACTTGTCTGCTCTTAGTCCCAGCCCAACAACCTTTTCCATGTTTCTTCTCCCGTCAGTTGCTGGGTGCTCTTCCTTGGTTCTGATCTGCTGCACTGGTTTTCAGTACAAACCACCCTCCCCCCAACACACACACACACACACACACACACACTTCATCCCCTTTGTTTCACCTCTTGCTTCCTGTTCCTAGCATTGTCCTTTTTTTTTCGGACCTTTTAGAATTTTGCAGTAACTGGTGGCCTACTCCACAGTCTCAGGAGGGTGACTTGAGAACCCAAAGGCAAAAAGGACCTTGTCACCCCAGTTTTAGCAGTCCAGCTGCCTCTAACGAGCATTTACTTCCGATTTGTCTTTCAGTTGTGAAATTAACAGACTCGAGCCATCCCTTTTGGGTTTAGTTTTGTTTTTCATTTTTTGCTACCTCCCCAGATTCCCTCCAAAAACAAGAACTTGACCATTTCTGTTCTCTTCACTCATCTCTCGGTGATTCAAGGATTCTGCTTGTCTCCCAGACCACCCCCTGCCTCATTTCGCTTCCCCTTGCTGTGTGGCCTTTTTGTCTGGCGGGAACCCCCTCGGCCGCCACTTTCCCTTTTCCCTGGGAACCTCGGCTTCCTGCATTCTTCCCTCTTTATTTGGCTCAGGACTCCCCTCCCTCCTCCTCCTAGCCCCCTTTCTCCGGGGGCGGGGGAATCTGCCACAAGGCCTCCCTTGCGTCTCGCACCCCCGCCGCCGCCGTCTGGGGCGCCCCGCGGCGACCGGGCCCCTTCCAGGGTGGCGCGGTGGCTGGTGGCAGCCTAGCTCCGGGGCCCTGCGGGTGGTGCGCCTGGGCCTGGGGCGGGGTAGGTGGAGCAGCCCTGGGCTGATTGGCCGCTGCCAGAGCCAATCAGCGCGTGTCTCGGGCAAGCTGCCCCGGGCGCGGGGCGGAGCCTCGAGAGGGGCGGGGCCTCGGTAGGGGGCTTGGGGTGCGCGGGACCTCGCCCGCGGGGTCGGGCGGTGGCGGCGGCGGCGTGGGGTGGGGTGCGGTGCGGTGCCCAGTCTCGCCCACCGCGTTCCCTCCTCCCGCTTCTTTCCAGAGCCCGAAAATGGAGCTGCATACGAACCCCACCCTCCCCATCCCCCACCAGAGGATGTTATTCAGGCCTCGCGACCAGAATCCTAAGAATGAGAAAGTCCTACCAGCCCACTGGCTGAGGCCGGAAACACACGCTTCCTCTTATTTTTAATTGAGAAAAATCTAGGCTGTGGCCATGTGATGCGCCCCATTTTGTCTCCCTCTCCCCTTTACTACGGTTTACTATAAAGCCACGCGCCGTCGTTTTCCAGTCGTGAAATTCACGAGTAGGAAGGAAGCACGTGGTTGTAGTTGTAGGATTAATGGGGTTGGCTTGGGATTCCTACATTTAAATCTCTTGCTAATGGGAGAGGAAGAAAAAAAACATGAGAAGGAAATGCAGGTGCTGTGGCTGTCACTGGTTGGGGATCTTTCAGGAAAAAAAAAAAGAAAAAGAAAAACTCATTTGGTTTAAGATTGCAGTGGGCTGAGCCCTTGATTGCCCGCCTGCAGTTTAGGGAGCACTGTGCTGAGATGAACAGGAGCTGACCCTTCTAAAGGAGGAGGCTATGGAGGCTCCTAACAAGGGCTTGGGTGGCGTTCCTGACTGAGACTTGGAGGAACTGTTGCCCATGCTCAAGTGAGAGAAGATAAAGCAGACGCGGTGAACTGATTTTGAAAGCTTGCGAGATAGTACCGTCCACCATCACGTAACCAAAGAACCAAAACCAAATCCACTGCCATCAAGTCGATTTGGATTTATAGCGACTCTAGAGGACAGAGTAGAACTGCCCCCTAGAATTTCCAAGGCTGTCGATCTTTACTGAAGCAAAGCTGAAATCCAAACCCACTGCTGTGGAGTTGATTGTGACTCCCACCATCCAGGAGGACAGAGTGGACCTGACCATGGGGTTTGATCTTTACAGAAGCAGATAAAAGTGACTCCTCCTCCCCCCTCTCACTCAGTTAAGTATGGCTCAGCATCCGGCATCTCTTGTCACTTGCCTGAATCACAAGCCCCAAAGACAAGGCTTTTCCTGAAGTCCTTATTGAAACGTCTTAGGGGGATGTATGGGAAAAGTACTGTCCCTGGGTAAGAAGTGCCTCTGAGTAACACTGCCTATGAGCAGTGGGAGTGTTTCTCTTTTTGCCAGAAAACTTAGTTTCTGCCATTGTTTCTGTGTTTGTGTTTAAAAATAAATAATAAGACGAGATAGTCTGCTTCCATAAAGTTGACAGCGCTGGAAACCGTATGGGGCAGTTCTACTCTATCTTTACAGGGTCACTATGAGTCAATCTACTTGGTCCCGATGGGTTTGGGTTTTGGGTTTTGTAGTACGTATTGCCTTACAGTCAGGGACTTGGAATCCAAAAGGGCAAGTCACTTTTTTTTTTTTGTTGTTTTTTTGTTTATCAAAATTCCCGGAAAATAGCTTTATGGTATCTCAAATGATGCAATGGAAAAAACAGCTCCTGGGAGCCAGAGAGCTGGGGTTCTAAAACAGCCTGTGCCCTTCACTCGCTGAGT